AGAAGCCATTTGGGAAACAAAACTTGTAGGTAGGAAGCGTAATTTTATGGAAGAACAGGGCTGATAGGCACATTGTGCAGGATGCTCCTAAAGACCTTTGTGTCTTTTTCTCTCCTGACTACAATGCTACTTCCTTCTCAGAATGGAGGAGCCAACAGAGGTGAGACAGAGACACTTAGATCATAGAATCATAGAATATCCTGAGTTGGAAGGGACCCTTAAGGATCATCAAGTCCAACTCTTGACACCGCACAAGTCTACCCAAAAGTTCAGACCATGTGACTAAGCGCACAGTCCAATCTCTTCTTAAATTCAGTCAGGCTCGGTGCAGTGACCACTTCCCTGGGGAGCCTGTTCCAGTGTGCAACCACTCTCTCTGTGAAGAACTTCCTCCTGATGTCAAGCCTAAACTTCCCCTGCCTCAGCTTAACCCCATTCCCGCGGGTCCTGTCGCTGATGTTAAGGGAGAAAAGGTCTCCTGCCTCTTGACACCCCCTTACGAGGAAGTTGTAGACTGCGATGAGGTCTCCCCTCAGCCTCCTCTTCTCCAGGCTGAACAGGCCCAGTGCCCTCAGCCGTTCCTCGTACGTCTTCCCCTCCAGGCCTTTCACCATCTTCGTAGCCCTCCTCTGGACACTCTCCAACAGTTTCATGTCCTTTTTATACTGTGGTGCCCAGAACTGCACACAGTACTCGAGGTGAGGCCGCACCAGCGCAGAGTAGAGCGGGACAAAAAGCTGATCCCAATAAGATATAGGGAGGTCAGGAGCAGCCTGAACAAGAGGCATGTGAGATTTTGGGGTGCTAAGAGGAGCATGGCCAGAAGAAATTAATAATTTCATAGAGGTAAGAGCATTCATGCAATGCCGGTATTGCAGTAACACTGACTTAAAACAGTCATATATGGCCCTTACCTTACGTGAGCCAGTAATTTTAACGTTAAATATACCTAAATGTTACTACAACAAACTGAAAGAAATCAATTTTCTCTCTTGATAACTCCAATCTAATCCCTTAACACTTACATTAAAATGCTCTATTTAACCTTAGACACCTTGGCAGAAAAAAAAAAAAAAAAAAAAAAAACAAACACATAGAGCTTGTCCATATCATAACCAAAGACCTGACAGCAAAAGCACAACACCAAACACTCCCACTAAAACATTGCTTAATCTCTAACCCAGAAACAAAAAGAGATACCAAGCGGGCTAGAGAAAGCTCAGCTCTGCCTCAGTATGTCATGGTCAAGCAGGAGCAATGTGACTGTGGCAGGGACTGTGAGGTCACTTCTGTCTCTGCACTTGATAGGGCAGCAGCAGGAACGTGTCACGCAAAGGGACTGGGAGGTCACTTCTGTCTGTACGTAGCAGGTCACTCTTGACATAGACCTGGGAGCTGCACTTTTGGGCTGACATCTGGCAGTGGCCCTGCTAGGCCAGCAGAAGGCACCTGCTTGGCATGCTGACTGGGGGATCCCCTCTGCCTCCACACCCAGGAGGACCCAGACACAAAGAAGGCCCCCAGATGGGTTGTCCTGACCCTTCTGCTTGAGTCCATGACTGGGCAGCAGCAGGCACAAAGCTTGGCTGTGTCTAGCCAAGAAGCTGCAAGGCCAGCAACAGGCCCATGGCTCGGAAGCTGCTGCTGAGGTGACTTGTGTCAGCTTGGCTGACAGGCCAGAAATAGCCTGCTGGGTTGGGATGCCTACTTCAGGAGGGGTCTCCACCCTGATGGAGCTTTCTGTGGTAGTAGGAAAGAGCAGGAGAGGAGAAACACCCATGAAGCGTTCCCTGGAATGTTGACACTGGCCATGAGGAGGAAGAAACATCAAGGGGAACAACTGGTCCATCTGCTAGAGTCAGAGGTAAAGAAGGAATTAATTACCTCAGCCTTTATCTTGTCTCTAGATCTTTACCAGATTTCGCCCACATCCAATAAAGAATTATGATTCTCCTTAATCCTCCTTTATTTAAAGTATTTCTATAAGCAGTGTTTATTGTCTTTGAGAGTCATAGACCGATTGAGCTCCAGCTGGGCTTTGGCCCTTCTAATTTTGACCTGCACAGCCCCATGACATCAGGACACAGCTCCAGAAAAACTGGCAGCATGCATGAGAAGGAAGCGCAGCAAATGTGGGACCTGGCAGCCTTCCATCCCCTACCCTTCTCTGTTCCTGTGCTAGAATTCCATTCAACTGATTACACCTGCGTTATCCAAACTTTCCTGCAGCTCTTGATGCTGCTGTCTTCTCAGAGACAGCACAATCACAGGAAGGTTGAACTGTCTGCCTACAGACATGAAGAGCTGACAGAATGGAGCATCAGTGTGGGTGAACCTCGAGAAGCTGCAGGATTTTGCCTACAGATATCTCTTGACATTTAAAAGGAGAAGAACCCAGTACTGCAGCAGAGGAAGAGCAACCCCACACATGGGGGCAGACTGGGACCCTGCTGAGTGAGCAGTGCCCAGAAGGAGGAGGGCCTGGGCAACATGAGGGATGCCATACGAGCAGTGGTGCTTGCTCACCAGTGTTAGAAATGGCTCAGCCTTCAAAATAGGATTAAATAAAAAAATAGGATTTATTAAAAGAATAGAGGTAAGTAAACAGTGCTGGGTGCAATGGGAGTCTCCGCTGCACCAGGACGCACACCAGTTACATCAAGTAGCTGATTTTTATACTCCTAGACTAATACATACTCTTTACTACTTCTAAAAAAATAGGTTATTATAATTAGCTTCCGGGGTCCAGTCCTTCCTACTGGAGCATGCACATCAGTCTCTGGTGATCCCTCTGGGGGTCTCTAGGGGTCTTTCATGCTGAAGGCTTGTAGTCTTCCTCTCCAAGTTTTTTTCTCATCCTTCCCCTTTGTACTCCTTTGGCACCGTATCAAGTTTATAGAACATCCCCTTCAGGTCTTGTCTCCCAGCCGTCCTTCAGCTTCTTTTTTTTCTCTTCTTAATATCTTGGCCACCTGGCCAGATATCAGAAGCCTGCATAGTATCTCAAAACACTCACTAGTTGTTATCAGTTGTTCTGAAACCCCTAGACATCAAAGACTTCGTACAAACACAAATAGCTTTCTTATTGACACTTCACGAGTAATTAAAACATTCCTCACCAGCCATTCACAGGGACAGTCACACCTATGGCAGTGTTAAGTTAATCTCGAAAAAGACAAAAAAAAAGGCTGTAACTGTTAGAAACAGAAGTCCGGAATAACAAAAGCAAACAGGTTCATAAATTTGAAGAGTATTTTCTGAAGACTTGATAAATTGACTAGAATGAGGGGGAGACTGGGACACACTGCATCTGTGGTTCAAGAATTAAATTCACAGTGTAGGGCCCAGAGGCAGACAGGACTGTTCTTTATTGACACGGATTGTTAAAACATTCCTAACACCAGGAACCAGGCCAGTTTCCTACAGAGCTGCCTTACGAGGAGTATGGCCACCAAGAAGGTCTGAGTTATCAGACTCAGCTCAGATCCCCTGAGACACCACACGAACAAGTGCCAAAAACTAGCTTGTAAAGAGGTGCAGGTCTGAGAGTCACTAGGACATCCTCATGTGGAAAGGAGCAATGATGATGGCATGACTAAAAGTCCCAACAGGACCCAGGTCTTTGTGTCCATGGTTATGGCTTTTGTCACTGTCACTGAGGCCTATGAGGAGAAAGCTATTTGTGAAAGCACAACGGCCTCATTGCCTCCTCGCTCCTAACCGTGAAGTAGGCAGGTATCGTACCATGCTCCTGCACTTGGCCATGCACATCCCATCTCCTACTGCCCCACAAAGAGCCTTGAGCAAGGAGTGGAAGAAAAGGATCTCCCTTCCAGGGGAACTGGATGTCAAGGCCTGGCCCTTGTACTTGCTGACACACATTCAGTTTTCCTCCACATCAGTGTCACCTTCACATTGCCTTTGTCTCCTTGTCCTCACTGCCTCCAGTGTTCTGCTCTAACGAGCTCCAAGGGAGGCTGTGTCAGTGCTGGCCCTCAGGGGGACACTGCAGGAAACTTGCCTCTGACTTGGACTTCTGGAGAGATGTCTTCAATTGTCTCTGAGTGCCTGAGGTTTGTGGGCTCATCAGCAAAGCCCCCAGAGGGGTGATTGCAGTGCCTTGGGCTGGTGCTGTGCTGCTGAGCTGGGCCAGGCTCGTGAGACAGAGAAAACACATTTCAGAAAGTCCCATGAAGCAGAAAGAGAGCTGTGCCCAGGAGCAGCTCCTCTGCACAGTGCAGCAGGCAAGAGACACAGAGGCACAGACACAGAGAGAAGAAAAGGAGAGAGGGGCTGAAGGCAGCTGGCAGTGGGAGGATGCTGAGAGCTGCCTGCAGGAGAAACCTGCACAGCCCTTGACAAGGTAAGGGTCTGGCTGCAGGGCCATGCCGCTGCAGGTACTTGAGGGGTCTGCTCTTGTTGGGTCTTGTTTCTGGGAGGGCAGTGGGCAATGCAGTAGGCTTTGAGAGTCCTGCTGGGTTGCAGTGTGAGGTGGGGAAGTCTGAGAGCAAGAGAAAAGCAGAAAGGTTCTCCTGCAACAAGAGAGTTTTGGGCTGGGAATGTTCTAAGACTTACAACAGGTTTGCCTCAGACCATTCTGTTCTAACGTTGCTCTGCCTTCTCCTCTTCAACAGACAACTTTGTCCAGTGAGAGAATGCCCAACATCAGCTCTGTGAGCGAGTTCCTCCTTCTGGCATTCGCAGACACGCATGAGCTGCAGCTCCTGCACTTCGCGCTCTTCCTGGGCATCTACCTGGCTGCCCTCCTGGGCAATGGCCTCATCCTCAGCGCCGTAGCCTGCCACCACCGCCTCCACACCCCCATGTACTTCTTCCTCCTCAACCTCGCCCTCCTCGACCTGGGCTGCATCTCCACCACTCTGCCCAAAGCCATGGCCAATGCCCTCTGGGACACCAGGGCCATCTCCTATCAAGGATGTGCTGCCCAACTCTTTCTCTTTGCTTTCTTGGTTGGAGCGGAGTATTCCCTTCTCACCGTCATGTCCTATGACCGCTACGTTGCCATCTGCAAGCCCCTGCACTACGGGAGCCTCCTGGGCAGCAGAGCTTGTGCCCAGATGGCAGCAGCTGCCTGGGGCAGTGGCTTTCTCAATGCTGCCCTGCACACGGCCAACACATTTTCCCTGCCCCTCTGCCAAGGCAATGCTGTGGACCAGTTCTTCTGTGAAATCCCCCAGATCCTCAAGCTCTCCTGCTCAGATGCCTACCTCAGGGAAGTCGGGGTGCTAGTGTTTAGTGTTTCTTTACTATTTGGTTGTTTTTTTTTCATTGTGGTGTCCTATATTCAGATTTTCAGGGCAGTGCTGAGCATGCCCTCTGAGCAGGGCCGGCACAAAGCCTTTTCCATGTGCCTCCCTCACCTGGCTGTGGTCTCTCTGTTTATCAGCACCGGTATGTTTGCCTATCTGAAGCCCCCCTCCATCTCCTTCCTATCCATGGATCTTGTTGTGGCAGTTCTGTACTCAGTAGTACCTCCAGCAGTGAACCCCCTCATCTACAGTATGAGGAACCAGGAGCTCAAGGATACACTAAGGAAACTCTTCAGAAACCTGCTTTTTCGGAATCAATAATGACTGCGAGTTCCCTGATAATTTCAGGAAGTGAGAAGAAAAAATAATTATTACATTTCTCTATAAATATTTTCTTCAAATTATTTGTTTTTATTTAAATAATATCATCCTTAACCTACTACCGGATTTTTTTTCATTTAAAATACCCAATCTTCTAATTACCTAAAGAAGCAGGCTTACCATGTAGATAAAGACACACAAAAACAAAAACAAAACCACCACCACCAACAACAACAAAAAACACCTACCATCACCTACCATCTCTTCCCATCTCCTCTGGAGCTGAGGGAGCAGCCCTACCATGCAGGAAGGACTCAGGGCCTAGAGCCCAGCTGCCACATGCACGAGCAGCCCTGGTGGCCCTCGGGGCTGCCCCTAAACTGTCCGCTGCGCTCTGCCTCTCTGCTGCCTTTGGGTCAGGGCTGCTGCTTCCCTGGAGTCATTGCCATGGCCAGCAGCAGGATGTGGCCTTTTCACTGCTGCTCTCTTTTGGCTTCCACATTGTTCTCTTGTGCTCTTGTATCTGTGTTAGTCTTGAGCTCTCATATGCCTCGATGACAGTCCTGTTTTCTCTGTAGTGGCATCCCGATCCCTGCAGATAGCAGAAGGCACTGTACAGCCCTGGGTCACAGCCGCTTCCCTGCTAGCACCATAGTAACAAGAGGGGCTGCTGAAGGCAAAGCCAGGAGCCTGAACACCAAGGGGCTGTTCCCTGCTCTTCTGTATTCTGGGGGTTCTTCATGGAGTGAAAGACACAGGATGAAAGTCCCAGGGTGGTCCCTGAGGAACCAAGGGTAGCACTAAGAGCTGCCATTATGGCAGAACTTGCTTAAGGAGATGACAACTGATCTTAAACTTATCTGCACCCCCTGCAGCGGGGCAGGCGGCAGATTCCAGCCTGTTGAGGAATCTGGAGCTTTCAGGAGATGTCAGGGGATCTGCAGGGACAAGGTCCTCAGATGAAGTGATTAGAACCTCATAAAATGAGTGACCATCCAAACAAAGGTCTGTTAAAGGAAAAGGGGAATCTGAGGAGTCCATGGGCTAAAGGAGGGCTCTGCAATGCCAGCAGAGGTGGTGAAGAGCCAACAGGCAAAGGCCCATAAGACTGCAGAGTAACTGAGGATAGGCATTTTGAAGTGCTATGGGCGAGGTCTGGTGCAGCACTCGCCTGCCCTTTGTGCCCTTAGAGACACCCCATGGCCCTGCCCAGCACTGCCCTGTGCTGCTGAGCCATCAGGGCACATGGAAAGGGGTTCAGCAGCAGAGATCCCCACGGATGTAGGTCTCACAGCAGCACCACCATCTTGGGGCCCTGAGGGAGCACAGGGAGGGAAGCAGCAATGGCCAGCCAGGCCAGCACAGACACACTGCCCTGGATAAGACCCTCTGGGAGCAGGGATGGCCCTGGGGAAGAGCAGAACCGCATTGCTGGGCCTGCACTGATGGGGAAAGGGCAAAGGGAAAGCTCTTTGTGCAGGCCCCTGCTCGGGGCAGGCTGCTCTGTGGCTGGGCCAGGCCTCTTGTGCTGGCCTGGGGAGCGGGGCTGGCCCTGCGGGGCACAGGCACTGTGTGCTGGGGATCTGCCAGGCAAGAGAGCAGGGCTCCTGCAGCTTCACGGACCTCCATCTCCTGGCTCCACGGACACCTCCTTGCTGCATGCATCCAGCAGATAAACACCTATCAGCCACCTGCTTTCTCTTCTTCTTCTAGACGAACTGGGGACAGAATAGCAAAACCAAGTAAAACTCAGAAATTGTGAGCCACAGAAGGCCCTGATGCTGTGCAAGAAATGCTCGAAAACAGCAACCACATCTGTGGGTGACCATCACTGGTCACACAACCAAAACACAGGACCACAAGGGGCTCCTTTGCAGAGAGTAACTCCGTCCCACCAATAGCCAGTACAGAACCCTTTATGGACAAGAAGACTCCCTCCGAGCTCTCGAAAGAGCCAGGAAGGTGAGAATAACACCAGGACAATTGAGGAAGCCCAAAGTCCCTTCTGAAGGGTCACTGAGTGCCACCTGAGAGGCAGTGATGGGCAGTGGGGAGGGCCAGGAGAAAGACTTGTGAGAAGGCTGTGAGAAACAGAGACACTCAGGGCTTTAGCACTTGTCTGTGGGTGGACTAGGAAGACGAGGTCACTCCTGAGACTGGGGCAAGGCTGAAGGTCCCTGCGTGAAGCTGGGCTGATGGAGGCACACCTTGCATGTGTGCCTCAGCCTGGGAGCAGGGGCCTGCCCGCGGTGCACGATGGCTGGGCTGTGCTCAGCCATGCCCCAGGAGATGACCTTGCTCTCTTCCTCCCCACCACTCCCCACATGGGGCAGGCCCTCAGGAAACACCCCTGAGCCTGGAGATGCACCAACCTGCTGCGCTGAGGTGCCACTACTGCAGAGGAAGAGGGGAGTGTTGGAGAGACCTGTGGGGCCTGTGGGCAAGAGTGGTGTGGCCAGGGAAGTGAGTGCCTGGGAAAAGTTACCCTGGAGCCATAGGAGCCATTCTGGAAAGAAAACTTGTAGGCAGGAACAGCATTTTTGTGATGGTGCTGAGCTGCTAGGCACATTGTGCAGGGTGCTCTGATGGACATTTGTGTCCTTTTCCATCGTGTCTTAAGTGACGCTTTTCTCAGAAATAGAGTAGCCAACAGAGGTGTGATGGATACGCTGAGATCATGAAAGCCTACAAAAAGCTGATCCCAGTTAGATGACTGATTTGGGGAGGTCAGGAGAAGAATGGACAGGAGAGATGTGAGATTTGGGGGAGGGAATAGGGGCATGGCCAGCAGAAATTAAGGATTTTGTAGAGGTAAGTTAGTTCAGGTTATGCTGATGCTGCAGTAACCTTGACCTAAAAGAATCATATGTGGCCCTTCCCCACTTTCAACCAGTAACCTTAATTCAAAAATCTAAATGCTACTCCACACCCTGACAGGAATCCACTACTCCAATGTCTGAACTCAAAGGTTCCCTTGAAGTCGAAACTCAGCCCATAGCCTCTTTCTCTTAACGTTTCTCTATTGCTCACCCTGATCCCTGACCTTAACACTAAGGAGTTTTGTGTCCTTTTCCATTTTGTCTTAAGTGACGCTTTTCTTAGGAATAGGGTAGCCAACAGAGCACTGACAGTCTAAGATCATGAAAGGCATCATAAGCATGCCCCTAAAAAGATAACTGATATGGGGAAATCAGGAGAAGCCTGGCCAAGAGAAATGTAACACTGAGAGGAGGGAATAGGGGCTTGGACAGCCAAAATTAAGGATGTTGTAAGAGGGTTCAGGTTATGCTGATGCAGCTGTAATCGTGACTTAAAATAGTCATACAAGGCTATTCCCCAGCTTCAACCTGTAAACTTATTTCCTAAAACTACATGCTACTCAGCACCCTGACAGGAATCCACTACTCTAATGAGTGACCTCAACGTACCCCTGGAAGACAAAACTCAGCCCATAGCCGCTTCCCCTAGCTCTTACACTCTTAATCACTCTGATCTCTGCCCTTAATACTAGCATTAAAATGGTCTATTTAACACTAGAAAACTGCTTAAGAGACCTAAAGAAAACCCTAACTCCAAATAAATGTGAGGGGCCATGGACCTGATCAGCTTGTGGGCCACAAGGAGGAGATGGGTGCAAATGCTGTGATGAGCTCAGCTCTGCCTCAGGATCTCCTGCCCCAGCAGGAGGAATGTGACTGTGGCAGGGATTGTGAGGTCACTTCTGTCTCTGCACTTCATAGGGCAGCAGCAGGAATGTGTCACAGAAAGGGACTGTGAGGTCACTTGTGTCTGTAGGTGGCAGGTCACCCTTGACATAGACCTGGGAGTTGCACTTTTGGGCTGACATGTGGCAGTGGCCCTGCTAGGCCAGCAGAAGGCACCTGCTTGGCATGCTGACTGGGGGATCCCCTCTGCCTACACACCCAGGAGGACCCAGGCAGAAAAAGGCCCCCAGATGGGTTGTCCTGTCCCTTCTGCTTGAGTCCATGAGTGGGCAGCAGCAGGCACAAGGCTTGGCTGTGTCTAGCCAAGAAGCTGCAAGGCCAGCAGCAGGCCCCTGGCTTGGAAGTTGCTGGTGAGGTGACATGTGTCTGCTTGGCTGACAGGCTGCAAGGAGCCTGCTGTGTTGGGATGCCTACTTCAGGAGGGGTTTCCACTCTGAGGGAGCTTCCTTTGGTATTACGGAAGAGCAGGAGAGAAAAACTTGTCAGGAAGGGTGCCCTGGAGGTTGGCGCTGGCCTTGATGAGGAAGAAATGTCTCTCAAAAGGTCGTGCTGTAGTGCCACAGGTCACCCTTTGATCAGACCATGGCTTTGTGTTTCAAGGAACAGCTGGTGAGGGTTGACGAGATATGGGAGAAAGCAAGGGATGACAGCAAAGTGGTGAACAGTGATGAGTGTATGAAGACTTCAAGGAAATAGGACAAATTGTGGGACAGCGTAGGAAAAGCTACAGAGGAGAAGGCAGAGGGTTCTGTCAAGAACGGAAGGTCCCAACAGCCCTGAAGGTTTTGTCGTCTTGGCTAGAGCTTATGAGGAGAGATGTTATACTCGTTGCAATGGGGCTTCATTGATTCCTTGCAACCCTGTGCAGCACCTCAGAGGTGTCATAGCAGTGTTCTTCTCATGGCATCACACTGCCCACCACAGCCCACAGACCCCAGCAAGAGCCTTGCGCCAGACATAGGGGTGCAGGATCTCCCCTCCCAGTGTCTCGGGCCAACCCTTGGCCCTTCTGCATCACCAAAACCAACCAAGACTTTTCTCAGCACAGTGCTTTGCCTGTCTGTAACCATGGCCTCCAATTATCTGCCCTAACAAGGCCCTGGGGAGGCTTTGTTAGTAACAGCCCTCAGTGGGGCCCATTCATACTCCAAGTCACTTCAAAGTTTTCTTCTGACTTTACTTTCTCTAGCAGTTGCATCATTC